ATTACGGAAAGATAGCCTATCAACAATTTTTAATCATTTATAATTGTTCCTTCTTTTTTTTAAGTCAAGGAATAAGATATTTAGAGAGATAATTAAAAAAAGATATGTATATAAAGATAATGTTGTGAAAAGACAAGATAAGGATTTGACTTATATTAAAACGTCCTTTAACATAAGGTTTAGTGAAAGTTTCACTTGCTTACGCTACACAAGTCTAATCAGTTTATCATTTTAGAAAGATGCTTTTTTTATTTAAATCGATTTCGCGATACGTCGTGTCCGGAATTTTAAATCATCAGTATCATTCACGATGCTTCTCTCTATTGCATCTTAATTTTAAAGGTAAGTAAAGAAACATTATAATAAAATTAATTATATAATAAACTTCAAGATTTAGTATATCTATGGTCTAATAAAACAAATATATAATAATAAGTAACGGGCAAAGTAAGAGTCAACACATTTCTCTTTGAAATTAACAAAAAATATATTATAATTAACAGAGGTAAAATTACATAACGCAAAAATTAGAATCGAAATTACGAAAATGATTACAAGTTACAAGTTTCGGCTACCGGATCGAGCCCTCTTTAGACATTAACATAACGAAACATATTATAAAACCTTATACTTGTTACCTATAGAGTTGCTGTTACTATCAAAAATGTATTTTTTTTTCTTTTAGTGTAAGAATAAATTTAATTATTAATCATTTGAGAAAAATCTTTAAGTAAAAATATATGAACACAAAATATAATCGATGAGGATCAAACTTGCTGTTTTTGAATTTCGTATATCACGATTAATTGTTGCAGAACGACGTCAGTTTCGAAGATTGAATATCCAAGCAAGGGTCAATCTTTCTCATGCAATCAAAGTCGCTCATATGTACAATCCCGGTGAATCTCCTATACTACATAAAACAATCGGACAATTATTAAGTGAGGCAGCTGCAACATGGCCCGAACGGACTTGCGTCATTTCGATTCCTCAAAATGTCCGTTTAACATTTATTCAGATTCTTCAGCGAGCCGACTCGTTGGCTGCGGGTTTCAAGAAGTTGGGTTTGAAAAAAGGTGATCGGTTGGGCATTTGGGCTCCAAACGACCTGGAATGGATCATAACTTTTCTGGCTGCGTCGAGGATGGGATTAATCGTCGTCGCAATTAACCCTGCTTATCAGTACAACGAATTAGTGTATTGTTTGCAAAAAGTTGGTGTAAAGGCGATTGTCTCACCCGAGAAATTCAAAACGCAGAATTATCCGAAGATGTTGCTCGCCGCCAAGGAAGTGTGTCCTACTTTGGAACATATTATTATTTATTCGCCCGATCATGTGACGTAAGAAACCACAATTGATGTAATAATTACAACTAAGGTATTTGTCGCACGTCCTCAAAATATAGTGTAACACATGATACATTAATTATGTCTTTAAGTTGGCTAATTAATAATAAGTAATTTCTGGCACTCTCGTGAGAGAGCAGTCTTTTAAAGAAAGGAATATGACTTCCCTTAAAAACAATTTGTTTAAAAAGTCATTAATTAATAAACTCTAATAGAGCATTTAAATGGCGCGATTATTACTTTTGGTGCAATTATGACTTTTTTTCAAATGACTGTGGCACTCACGATCTTTCGTGAGCTTTTAATATGTTCACACACTAGAACGCGATCGCTTCACTAATCCGTGAATATCGCATGAGCCCTCGCACTTTGACTGACAGAAATCTTTTGCTCGACTTTGCGAAATGGATTAAGAACACGTGATTATTGTATCAAAACGTCTCGTGAATTCACATTTTGCTAATGTCAGTTTCTGTATGACATTCTGTTTATTAGATTTTAAAAATTGGTCTGTCTAAATTTGTTTAAAGTGCAAATAGATCTCCGAATTTTTAATGAATTTTTTTGTTACATTAAAAAAATATTAAGTATAAAATTAAATCTAAAAATTCAATTACATTTAATTAATACGTATTAATTAAAAAAAGAGTAATATTTTTTATACATATATCCTAATATATATATATATATTAATAAGAAAAATTATTGTTGTGCTTAATTTAAATCTTATTATAGTAGATAAATATCAAAATAATATAACAGTTTGAATATTCCTCTTGGTAAATATCAAGGTATAAGCGTTCTGTTTCATGACACGAGAATATCGATCTGAGGTCGAATAAACGAAGACGAAGATTGAATGACTTGAAATACTGAGAAGGGTAACGGTGTTTAAAACGAAACAGTTTCAATGTCGAAGAAAACGTTCAATAATTTCGTCGAGTATTATTTCTTCGAAAACGTTTTTTTTTTTTATTACTTTGTCGTGCGTTTTGTGCGTATGTTTCTACAATATTACAGACAAAGTCCGCAAGTGGATAGTGTCAACATTGCCCGAGCATTGTCAACATTATCCAATCCAATCACATTGGGCAATACTGACATTGTACAGCAGGGTAATGTCGACATTGCCAACTTGCGCACTTTGTCCGTAATATCTCTAATAAGAAATGATTATGGAATTGACGTCAAATCGATACAATATAATATCAATGATTTCGACATCAATAGTCATATAGATATAGGACGCATAGATTGTGCATTTTTTGATCTTAGCATATCAGCAGCTCTCTTCGGTTCTTCGATACTTCGAATTGAAGAGAGATGCTGATATATAGAATCGAAGAGAACTGAAAAAAAGAGAGCAATATGTTCAAGCTATCACTGGCTGCGTTTATCAAAGATGATTTTAGTTTCTACATTTAGATGCAGCGAAGAACTAAAGGCAAGAATCATATTAAGGAATTACTAAACGCTCACTGATCAGTTTTCTCTGTTAAATTAACACAGCCATTCTTTCTAAATCGAAAATGATAATTTTATAGGAATACGTCTTGCGCAGTCTATTCTTATTACATCCATTATGTAAAAGTTTTACAACATCATTATATCCATGGTGTAAAAATTTTACACCATGATTACGTCTATGATTTATTAAACGTTGATTCGACATCCAATTGATGATCATTTTTCGCTGCACTCCGCGGATATGGGCTCTCGCGCGTATTTCTATTCTTTTTTCTGCTGTACAGTCCTTGAACTTTTACTGATCAACCGATTTGATTAATAACCGTGCTGTATGGAAGAATCATGGTGCAATTAGGTTAATAGCTTCACCGAGATCTATCCATTCGCTCTCGCAAACACCGTGCCATTGAGGGAATGTAAATGATATCAGCATGTTTAATTTATAGCGGTACGCATCGTTTTGCCGACGTCGAAGTTTCAGCAACTAAAGCGGAAGTAGATGCGATCAACGCCGAACAGGATAAGATATCATGCCATGACGAATGCACTATACAGTTTACGTCCGGTTCCACCGGAAGGTCCAAAGCTACGATCCTCTCACACTTGGGTCTCGTAAACAACAGCAAAGAGGTGAGATGCACAAACAAAAAAATTAAATATATTGGATAATTGCATTATAAATCCTTTTCGGGATTAATTGAATAATTAAGAAATTACTTATATTAGTACTATTTTTAATTTATAAGGATCACAAAACACGACAAATTTAAATAGTAAGCGAATCACAGTAGAGACCATAAGGCCAGTGAAACAACAGCCAATCCAACATATGTTGATTTCTTTACTGTTTAAGTTTTTTGTGCGCCATGGCCCTAACTCTCTCTCTCTCTCTCTCTCTCTCTCTCTCGCAAAATACAAATTAATAGTAGATACATCAATATCATAATTTATAATTTCTTACTCGATAATACAAATGTAATATAATACATGTTGTAATAGCTCATTGTTGAATAGAAAATTATAACATTGATGTTATTGATAGTTTGTGTTTTATAGAAAAATATGATAATAATTTAAAGTGATTTTTTCACTAACGAAGTTTCTTTATATTTCACATCTGAACTAAGTTGAGTGCTTACTGTTCTAAATATATCTTAAAGAAAGAATCATTTATTTCTATGTTGGCAGTCTGCGCAACGGGCGAACATAACTATCGAGAACAAAATATGTTTAAACATGCCGCTTTACCATGCGTTCGGCATGGTGATGGGCCAACTGCTTGTCTTTCATACGGGAAACACCCTCGTCATAGAAGAACACTCCTTTGATCCAGTAAAAACCTTGAAGGCAATAGCGCAAGAAAAGTGTGCCATAACATATGGAACGCCAACTATGTGGGTAAGCAAGAACAAAATAGATGCACGCTAGATTGTTTGAAAAATTTTCGTTCGATATAATCGCAAGTAGCATATTCTACGATAAGATTTTGAAGATTATATAATTAATATATTTCAGAGTTGAAAAGTTGAAACGCGCATTACTCTTGCAACACTGTTATTATTATTGTTATTTTTTAAATATTGATTAGCAACGATATAATGATTGTTACTTTTTTCTGTCTGTAATGATAACGATAACGTCATTACATTTTTGAGACTATAACACACACAAAATTTGAATACTAAGACGTAAGTAATAAGTAAATCAATTTTGGATTTGCTACTGTTTACATTGTTGCTTTACGTGTAATTCGCTTATTGCTTGCGTTTTTGTTGTAGCTTTTATAATAGTAGTTGTAGTTTTCTAATAATAGTAACGAATTCAATCACTATTTTTATCATTACTTTTATTTTTAGAGTTCCTTTTATCTTTATATCACACAGAAAAATATTACTTTATTGTTAAGAAAAATGATTATTCAATGTTCTTTCTTTCTTTTAAGTAACGGTTATATATCTTTAATAAAAACTATTTTTTTGATAAGAATCTTAAAATGTATTTGTCACAAATTTTAGAAAAATTAATTAAAAAAATTATTATCTACTTAAAATAGGAATTTATTTCCTTTTAAAGAATATTATAAAATTGATTGAAGAGAAACGATTTCATATAATGAATAACGGTAATAAAATTACTTTTTATGAAAAGTACATTAACGGTAACGCATTATTCTTATAAAACATCGTTGCCAGTCATGATGCATTTAATTATGACGTTAAGACAATCACTATTCTGATGATGTGTTATTGGTTAATTATTAATAGTATCGAATGTTAGCTGGGAGCAGTAAAAATATGCAATGAGTAATCGCTGGTCATGCTTCCTAGGCAGAATTTCAAATTGATGAAACTTGTTATAATACATGAATAAATATCGCTAAACTAAACTTTGTTTATATTTATATATTCTTACAAAGCAGTTTTATCTTTTGTACAATTTACTTTTAATATACCTGTTATAATGTGAACAAAGTAAAATAATTTCAGCATTCTTTAACATTAACAATTTTCATTATCATTGCATTTACAATTTAGGTTAAAATATAAAATTTAAAGAAGTTTAAAACATAAAATTTAAACTTTATTCATGATTAGTCGGTCTTCATTTTTTTTTTAGAAATTTATAGAAAATTAATTTTTTCATTAAGTTGAGTTTCATGTATGCTGCTAGGTAAACTTAATCGCGGCACAGCAACGATTACAGCTACCAATAGACAGTCTTCAGGCAGGAATTACCGGTGGTGCACCTGCGTCTTCTGAACTCTTCAAACGAATACGAGACGTGCTAGGCTTTAATGATATAATGGTAAATTCAATCAAAGGCTCTTCAGCTTTAATAATTATCCATCATGATACTATTATATAATTGAGCAGCATCATACCATGTTTTATCTACCAATAGTATTAAGGACGGACGTACAACCACTTTATATAATTTGACATTAATCTATATCTGCAATTTTAATGGAAACTTTCTTTTATTCACACTGATTGCCCTTTCACGCTGTTAACCAACGAATTGGTTGGATTATGATTCATTATTACTACGTTTTATTGTTCGACAAATTGACATTTAAATATAATATAATTTATACTGACTATTGAAAATCGAAGTTGAGATGATCTTTTAAATATATTAATTTAATTTTTGTTATATGGGATAATTATATTTCTGCGACTGATGAGGACTAAGTATAGTCGAAACGTATCGATGGAAAATTATATTGTGAAATAATAAATTTTGCTTTGTCACATCTAATTATAGCTCGTTTAATTGTTGACTTGAGTTACTATTTATTAATTTGTTTGAAAGTTATATGAGCATTAAAAAATTGTTTGTAATTTATGTTTTAATACCATATTAACATTTCTGTTTGTTTTCAAAATTCAACTAAATATAACTTGTATAATCATTGCATGTTGCAGTACGATAAGATACTTGATATGACGACGGTAAATAAACAATAATTATTCAATACTCATGCAGTGCATTAGATTGTTTGATATGATTAATCACGTTTGATTATTTAGAATTAACTTAGTTATGTTACTTATGTTAATTATATTAATTAACATAAGTAATATTATATTAATTATGCTGATTTATATTGTTAATTTATATGTATATTTATCGAGTGGCCTTACACTGAAGATGATTTAATACTCAAAACGGTTATTAAAAACGGTATTTGTAGTTATATATTTCATTTAATATTTTTATAAAAATAAACACCTAAACATCCAGCTTGGCTTATAGTATATTACTTCTGATTATTTAATATTTGTACATATATTTATTTACATATTTATATAAGTCTCTGTATTATGAGATAAACTTTCAATTCCAGAGCATATATGGCCTTACAGAAACAACAGCTATAGTATTTCAATCGATTCGTGGAGAAGATAGACATCTTACCGAGACCACTGTTGGTCATTTGGCGAATCATACTGAAATAATGGTATCAATTTTTTATTTTGAAAATAGTTTTCTCTAATTTCGACTTTTAACATTTTATGATATATGTATTTTTTTACGTATATCTCTGCCGATTAGATCGTCGACGAAAACGGTGTGACCGTCCCTTTTGGAAAATCTGGCGAACTTTGGATTCGCGGTTACTGCACAATGTTAGGTTACTGGGACGATGAAGAAAATACGAAAAAGACTTTGACGAAGGATGGTTGGTTGAAGACAGGCGACCAATTTGTCTTACAGGAAGATGGATACGCTCGTGTAGTCGGAAGACTCAAAGATATGATTATTCGGGGAGGAGAAAATATTTTCCCTAAGGTGAGTATCATGATTCATATTATACGATTTATATTACTCATTCATTACTTAATACGTCTTATTTTTCAGTAAAGAGTCGATTGAAAATATTAAATAACATTGATGATATTTTATAAGTTCTATTAAAAAATGGCAATATTTCAAGCAAAACACATACAGCTTCAAAATGACGTTAAAATGAATTGTAACTGACTCAAAAAGTGACTTTTAATAATAATTTTGAAGTTAAAATGATTTTGATGTTATAATGACTTTTTGTTTTACTTAGCATTTAAATTTCTGAAAGAGAGATTAATTTCTATTACTCTCGATACGACTACTCCAAATAATTTGTATGTAATCTTAATTTTGAGAAATTAAAAACGCATAAAAAAATTTTTAAGATTCAATTCGAAGACTTTACCAACTTCAAATTTTTTTATCGTAGGAAATCGAAGACTTTCTGACGACCCATCCCAAAGTAATGCAGGCACAAGTTATAGGAGCATATGACAAGTTGTATGGAGAAGAGATTTGTGCGTGTATTCAACTTCGCGACGGTGCGACGATGACAAAGGAAGAATTAATAGATTATTGTAAAGGCAAAATAGCGCACTTTAAAATACCGCGTTATGTACAGTTCGTAAATGAATATCCAAAGACTAATACTGGAAAAATTCAGAAATTTCGTCTAAGGGAACAAATGGAAGACAGTAATGTAATACCAAAAACTCCAAAACTTTCATAACAAACGTATATAATAACAAGACTTTAAAAAAATATTAGTAAAAAAAGGAATTAAAAATTTAAGATTTATCTTTAAAATTTAGATTTATCGCGAGATTTAGGTAAAAAATTAGTTATCGAATTAATCGAAATTATTGATGAAACTATAATACTGTTGTATATATTTATAGAACTATTAATTGTTATTCTTATTATTGTTGAAATATTTTTAAAACCATGAGAATAAAATTAGATATAAATAGTAAGCAGAATGTATTAGTAGGCGCTAACGAAATATTTTTAATCTCCTACGATTGCATGTCGAAATGTACATACTAGCCATTTTATTAGAATAAACAATTAAAATAATTATTTTTTAAATATTAATACAAAACTTTTATTTTAATATACTATTAATTTAGACATAAGTTATACTTAATTAAAATATACATTAATTATGTATATAGTTAATTACAAGAGTTGTACATTTACACATATAAAAATATAATAATTTACATTTCGTATACAATATAAATTATACTCTTAGAAAAATTTGTATTATAAGTGTATTAAATTTGTATAAGTAATTAAGTTAAACGTTATTTGTTTTGAATATTAACAGCATTGTTCTTAGTAATTATAATACTTAAAATAAGTTATAATTAATCACTAATCAATTAAATTTAACTTATGGTATTAAATTTTTTTCAGAATTTTTATATGAATTGAAACATTTTGTAAAAATATTGAGAAAGTCTGTTCTTATAATTTTCCATATATGAATTTTGAAATATTTTAAGATTTTTAAGATTTCTCTTTTTATATAATTTCTGAAAAGAAATCTTAAACTTTTCGATATTTCCTAACATTTCATCAAAAATTATATAATTAGAAATCTTAGGAATTTTACAAATATTTCAGAATTCACGTATATAAAAACCTAATTTAATAATTTATATATTTTACTTCGCTTGTGCTGTGCACATAAAAAAAATTCGTGTAAACTTAAATATTTATATATTCTATATAAATGTTAATCTTAGACTAAATTTCAAAACATTCTCTTCGAGTCAAATTTTTTTCAAAGTTAACGTTTTAGAATACAGCTTTGAAGTATATATACGGCACAACTTTAAACTATAAGGCCTGTTCTTTTTAACTGAAATTCTTGCACGGTTTATCTTTTCTCTTTTTCTTTCCAACATAGAGAGAAAAGGAAAAAAGATGAATTGTGCAAGAACTTTAGTTAAAAAGAACAGACCTATAATTCGCTATATTGACAATACTCTGTCGGTAAAACAGTACTTCGATGTATTTATAGTCGTAGTCGTACTCGATATGTCGCCGGATATTTAAAAGCGGAAAGATCTGTTTTTTTCTTGATACAATTGTGATACGCTCCAGCCAGAGGAGTTTCAAGCCATGGCTGAATATCTGGCGTCAATTTTCGGGACTGAGAAGGACAAGTAAGTGTAAAATCCATATTTTATATGTCGCTGGTTTACACGAAATAGGTTATGATCGTGATGTAAACTTCATTTATTTCTCTTGCAGAGTCAATTGCTCGTTTTATTTCAAGATAGGTGCATGTCGACATGGAGATCGATGTTCACGAATTCACAACAAGCCAACATTTAGCCAAGTAAGATTTACTTATCTTTTTCCATATTTTATATTTTTATGTTTATGATTACAATAATTTACATATCTCAATGTTGATATGTAATGTAAGATATGTATAAGGTTTTTTTTATGAACAACATATTTATATCTTATTAATAAGATATATAACTTTTGTCAAACAACTTTTGTCGGTTAATGGTCATTTCTACCAACATAGATTAATTTTAATCGGTTCAACTTACTCTTCGTTTTTTTTCTAATCTTTAGAATTAGAAAAAGACGAAGAGTAAGTTGAACCGAGATTAAAGTTAATCTATGTTGATGGAAATGGACATAAATATGTTATTCTGCCAGGTATACTGTGATAATTTTGCATAAGAATTTATATCAGTATTTGTCTTGAATTTAAACACATCAAACTTTAATACACAAATTAAATGTTTAAGTGGATTCAAGAAATTAATAGAATTAACTTTATTATCACGCGATACATCGTTTATGCAAAGTCTGTGTTCTTCAGACATGTCTACTGCAGAATCTTTATGTGAACCCTCAGAATTCTGCAAAAAGCGCAGATGGATCACACTGTAAGTACACTGTATTGAGTTTTAATGAAAGCATTTTATACGAAATGAGGATGTAGTTCAGAATGTATTTTACGACAGTGGTTGCAAACGTATCCGATGAAGAGATGCAAGAGCATTATGACAATTTTTTCGAGGACGTTTTCATCGAATGTGAGGACAAGTACGGCGAGATTGAAGAGATGAACGTGTGCGATAATCTTGGCGATCACTTGGTCGGAAACGTTTACATTAAATTTCGCAGAGAGGAAGATGCTGAGAAGGCAGTCAATGACTTGAATAATCGTTGGTTTGGTGGCAGACCAGTTTACGCCGAGCTTTCACCCGTTACCGATTTTCGTGAGGCCTGCTGTCGTCAATATGAAATGGGGTAATTGTGAGCTAATACGATTTAAAGTACATAATAAATAGGCATGGAATTGTATACGAAAATAATGTGCATCTAGCGAGTGCACGCGCTCCGGATTTTGCAACTTCATGCACTTGAAGCCGATCTCCCGGGATCTCCGTCGATATTTGTACAGCCGGAAGAAGAGCAAGGGTCGATCAAGATCGCGATCGAGGTCGCGAGGTCGCGAACGTAGGAGGAGGTCCCGATCCCGAGATAGAAGATCCAGATCCAAAGATCGACGTAAGGGAAGAGACGAGAAGGGCAGAGATGGTCGATCCGGTCGCTATTAATAAAATTTTATCCTTACATTTATAATTAAGTTTAGTTTCTTGTTAATGTATCCAGTTCCGTTTGATTCTTGATATTGAATAAATTTCACAAAATTATTTCTTTATTAAACATAATAGGTTAGAAGTTTGCGTAAAAGATTTTATGCCTGATTCCTAATCTTTTTTCTTCAATGTTTTATCATTATTGTTCAGTGTCGAATTACTGTGGTATTGTGACTCGAGTTGTGTAATAATGATAAAGACGGCAGCACCGATTCAATGAGGTAAAACAAAAACAAAAATAAAGTATTGTATTTTTGCAAGATGTAATTTTTTGTGTATGCATATTCCTTAAAATAGTCAATGTATTCAAGTTTTTCGTTTTTACATTAAAATATTGAGAAAAATATCTTATTGGTGTCCTGATTTTCCTTTTCTATTAAAAAAAAAGGATATTAAGAGTAATAAAACTAAATTATATATATTTATTACAAATGATTCATTACACAATTTATACGTATTCACTTATACTTTTTTATTTTTTAAGTGAGTTAGTGAGTAATGATAAAGTTTTAAAATTGTAATGTATTTCTCAATGAAATAATTGTATATTTGGCATTTCGATTAATTATTTTATAGTAATATTTTTGAAATAATGTTCAAAACAAAAACAGGGATTTATATATAAAGTCTATATAAAAATTCTTTTTTATCGAATTTTCTTTCTCGATATTTTCTACTAGAAGCTCATACATTTGCCACAAGATGTCACTTGTAGTATCTTGTGTCATAAAATTTTATTTTCAGATGCTATTACTACATAAAAAATAATTTCATGAATTGTTGCTTGAGAAACAGCGTTTGTTTACAAAAGTTAATTTGTTGAAAAAAGAATTTATATAAATTATAAGGTGTGTGAAAAAAGGTATAGATTTCTAAGTATATTATAAAGTTATGTCATATTATATTATTCGATATATTCAATAAAATTCTTGTATAGATTTTATGTATTTCAAGATATGAACTTGTAATAAGGTAAACAAATTTCTGGAATAACTTTCAACGTAAATGGACGTAGATTCTTTCCTAATAGTAGTAGCTTGCAATCTTCGCGCGGTGTAGCCGTTCGCGCGAGCCAAGTCTTTATTCCTTTTTATTCTTATTTTAATCGGTACCCAAGCATATTCCTTGTCTCGTGCCGACCAACTGTTGCTCAACAAGTTGTTGTTGAAAGATGACGCGAAGGTGCAACGGGCGCGCGCGCAGCCAAGCAAGAATAGCAAGAAAAAAAATTAGAAGGGAGTGGAAAAAAGAAAGGAAAAAGGAAAGAAAAAAAAAACGCAGCAGGAAGAGACGAAGCGAGAGAAAGGAAGAGAGAGAGAAACCGCACGGCTTTCAAGGAGAATCACGTCTCTCCTCGAAATCGGTTCATCCGAACCGGGCACGTGTTTCGACTGGGCCTAATTGCCGGGACTCTCGGGGCCTCTCGCCTCGCTTCAAGACTCCGAACGGGCGTGCATTACCGCAGCAGATGGTGGTCGTGATTGCAGCTGCCTCCGATGAACACCTGCCTTCTTCTTTGGACGGCTATCGGAATACCGATGTCCGTTTTCTTCGCTGTCATGCACTCACTATGCCATCGTTTATCTCGCTTTCGAGATTTATCTCCATCGATTTTGCGCTATCGCCCTTTACTTGGAGGAAAAAAAAAAAAAAAAAAAAAATGATAATTCCTGATCAGAGAAATCAATATGCGACGAGTTGCAGCCGATTTTTATTAATGTTCAACACATTCGCGCTGAGAAAAACGCCCGCGATGTTTACATTCTGCTGTAATACAGCTACATAAAACATGGGCGATTCCGTTAAACATGTACATAATTATTCGTTTGCGTCCATACGTGAAATTCGATTATGGATGAGCGGTAAATGCATCGCGGTCGTCTGTCATGGTTTAGCTATAATACGTTACAGCGAATACGGTGTTTTTCAGATATTTTCATATATTTTTGTAACGTCATACATTAAATAAAACGCGTCCGTAAATGTTATCGCACTTCCAAGTTGATTTCAATGTAAATCCATAAAAAATATATCCCGTATACTGAATATATATACCGTAACAAATTTTTATATATTATTGAAAATTTACGGTTGGATTTTCTTTGACTGCGATTACAAATTTTTTAACAATAGAAAAGGCTCGATTTTCATTTAATAAAACAATTGACAACGCTATTTCTCGAAAATAATATGATAATAAAATTGTTATAGTTTTTAAAATTTTTTTCTCCAAAATCATATAATTAATTTATAAATGAAAAAAATTTCTAAATGCAATAATATAATTATGAATCTGAAAAGGTGGGGATTGTTATAATTGTTAGATACCTATAAATGACAATTTTAATTGGTGTCAATTAGAGAGAATGTTCTTAGTTAATTTCAATTTAATAATTCCGATATTGAATTGAAATTCTGTCAACTAAATGTTCTTTTCTCCATAATAAATTCTGCGAGAAATTTGCTCAGTCGCGCGTGATACTTGAGATTTCACGAAAGTACAGAAATATTCTCGAGGATGTCGATACGCGGGATTGCAAATTGAAAGCTGAGTTAGAGCTGAGCATGATAGTCCATCCGAGAGTTCAGTATATACCATAATTAATCCTGGCAATCCGCCAGAACATCTTGCTCACAAAGGAGAGACTCGTTTCTGTACGCTAGATGATGGGAGTAGGAGGGAAAAAAAGAGAAAAAAAGAGAGAAGAGAGAGACGGAAATAGATACCATATATAGATATATAGTAGATAGATGAGTAGTTGGATAAATAGATAAGACAGATAGATAATGGCGTTTATGTTAATACTTTAGGGCAAACCCTCTAAGAATATAGAAAAAAAAAACAAAGAATGAAAGCAAAGAAATTAAAAGATGGAATAATAAGAACTATGAATAAAATGTAAAAACTGTATACTGTTAAATTCATATAATGTCAAATTGTACCAAATTTAAGTAATTTTTAACCATTTCTAGATATAGTTCGCCAACATGGGATTAATTTAATTAAAATAACGGAATTGAACAATTTAACTTAAGAAAATTTATTAAATTTGATTCTAGTTTAGTTAATTATTTACTAAATGCATACCTATGTTAATATGGGTCGATATTTATAGTCGGTTCTTATTTTAGACTGTCTTAAAATACTAATACGGCTTCCTGATTGGTTTATACAAGTACTTGTAACATCTTAAGACTATACCACTTCAGACAATCTTGAATATAAGAACTAACTATGAATACCGGTCATGGACATTCACATTGTTTACCTCGAAATTAAATACAAAAGTGCATCGATTTATATTTTGACACATACGGAGGTTGAAAATAATAAGATGTTACTTAATTCAAGGGATTGGGTTACCATTGCTCTTTTAGTATCTAGTAATTCAAATTATAGTAATTAAAATTACAAAAGTAAAATAAAGGAAAACGGAAGATAACATTTTAAGTAGTAGATAAATATGAAAAGTTAAAGGGAGAAAGAGAGACGAAGTTACGGAGCAGCTCCCGAAATATGCGCGTAGAAAATCGCACGTTCACCGAAGTCCGAGAACAATGGATAGCTGTAACCGCGATTTCCCTCGTCAGGGAAACGAGCTAACGAGCTGTCAAACGTCACCGAGTTGGAAGAGCTCTGGGCGTTGTTGAATCTCGATGGCGCGGCGACGGACACATCTTCGATCGGCTACCTCGCGAACCGAGCCTTCCGGAGCAGGACGTGTCCCCGTCTTCCGCTAACTGCGGAGATTGGCAATTACGTCCACCGAGATCGATTTGATATTGAAAACTGGAAACGTTTCAAATAGCAATCGGGGGGGGAGGGGGGGGGAATTTCGAGTACTACACAGTGAAGAAAACGTTCGGCCCCGATTGGGATTCTCCTTATTTATTTCATAAACATCGTTGTGACGTAACGCTCGCGTCAACGTGACAATTTTAATTAATGAGCCGTATTATTGTTCACTTAATTATTCTCTGTTCTATTCGTCGTTTTTTAACGGGCGAATAAATCGACTTAACGATAGCGGTACGCGAAAATTGCAATCGAACTTCAGACACGGTGCCTTTGCGACGTAAATGATTTATGAAAGTGAGGGGAAACAAGGGTCGTCGAAGAGAGCCATTCCATAAAATACGGATAACTGCGTGTCGAACAACGGCGAGAGGTACGGGAGGAGAAGAGAGTGGAGAGGACGCCTTTCAATCCCTCTGTATGAGACGACTCGTTCGATGGTGGAAAAAAAATGTTTCGCGGGGCCATTTAATCGCAAGGTTCGAGTGCCGCCTGCGAAAAGTCCGAATCAACAGTGCTCTGAAAAAAAAGATGGGCAAACCTCACCGAAATTCGATCATCGCACCGGTTGATCTTGCAGGTGATCCCGACGAAGAGTAAAGCTGCAGAAGCTACATCCGGCGGCTGCATATTTTGGCGAGAGAGTGACAGCAAGAGAGAGAGAGAGAGAGAGAGAGAGAGAGAGAGAGAGAAGAAAATAATCGGTAGAAATTTGTAGTACGTGCAACGCGACGACCTAATTAGTATAATAATAAAAATAGCGCGTTTCGGCGTTGCTGTGAATTCTCGTTTATATGCAAATGCATCCCGGTCGCGAACGCTTCAACGGCTATATCCGAACCTCTGCAAAAAGCCGATCCGCTTCTTCCGTTGGCGTTAAAACGATCTAAATGATCTAATCGAGTCTCGTCTGAAAATCTATGCTCGTTGCACGTCGGATCGTCGTCACGTCATCCGCGTAATTATTTCAAAGGCTGTTTGAAAGAGAGAGAATGAGAGAGAGAATGAGAGAGAGAGAGAGAGAGAGAGAAAGAGAGAGGGAGAGAGACTTTATTCCAAATCGTTCAAAATCCAGCTCGTAACGATGTTTCCCCAAGTTGCTCATAAACAAAATGAAATTACGTATCGTGGAATTTTAACATTGAATATTTTATTACAGGATATTATACTGTAATAAAATTACATCAATTCTGTATACATAATGATGATTATTGATGATACAAGCAGTGATACGAAAAATGTAAAATTTAAATATTCATTAAAATACGTAGGATATATTAACTCCTTAATTAACTGAAACCGTTGATATTTATATAATTAGTAGACTTGACGCGAGACATTATTCTTGATACTGTCTCTTAATATTGTAGTTTTACATTTATCACGCGTTACTTTATTCTAATTTCTTTTTCCCGAAATATTCTCTAGATTTTTTAGCTCCTTAA